GGCGAGGCCGGGCGGCCCGAGGGGCAGCGCTGCGGGAGGAGCTCGCCTCGCGCGAGGGCAGAGCCGGCCTCCTCCCCCGCGCCGGGCCCTCTGTGCTGCTGCGTTGCGTCACCAGCTGCCTGAACCAGGGGCCCGGAGAGATGTGCACCTCTAAATCCGTGCACTAGAGAGACAGCTGCCCCCCTCCGAACAGTTCAGAGTCTTCAGAAATAACCTGGGATTCTTGCTTTCCTCGTCTTGTTGCTGCCGCTATGGAACTAGCAAAAGCCAGCCTCTGCTTGCAAACTGCCTGAAAATTTTCAGCTTGCTTTTTCCATTTGTGCAGAAGGCAGAGCATGGGCTGTGCAGAAATTAAAGTCGTCTGAAGGTTTAGCTCTGTAAAATTTTATACACACAATTCATTCTAAGTAGCCATAGTGAAGTGGGGCTGAGCGTGTGTTTTGGACTTGGCGAGGTTTTGGACTTTGCGAGGTCTCAGCCTGAAAAGTTTGGCAGAGTTTCATCAGAACGTTTCCTCATTATTTCCAGTTTATTGTGCTAGAAGGAATTGTGGATTTAAATTGTTACAGATATTCTTCTGTTACTGAAACAGGACTCTTGCAAAACCCATGCCTAAATGCAAGCAAGTTTTAGCGTGTCTAAAGAATGAATCAGTTACTGTTTCACGTTACTGTTTATCTGGTGCAGTGTTCAAAAGAACTGAGATGATATTTGAAAATACCTGGGGAAATTGTTTTAAACAGAAACCCTGTTTGTTTATATGAGTCAAACCAGTTTCAGGAAATTCTTTGGACGTTCACCAGCAACTTGCTGGCCTCTGGATGGCACTGTTGTGCCTGGAATTCTTCTGCTTTGAAGTCTGCATTATTTAAACGAATAGAACTGTTGTCAGCTGTCTCTGTGATGCATTTTGTCAGCAGGATCTATCATTTACATCATGTTATATTTTAAAGTTTGATTTCTGACAGGTGCTCAGGCACCTCCTGTAAGTGATCTGCAGGTAAACCACCCCTGGCTGTGATTTTTATCAAGTCTTACCTGCAAGTGGGGACAGGCCAGGCTATTCCTTCAAAGTAAAACTTTAGAGTTCCATTTAGCATGTTTCAGAAAATGGTTCAGTAACACTCTAGGTTTCATTTGGGTCAAGAAAGACCCAACTGAAACTACTTTGAACCCATCCCTTCATAATGTAGAAAGGGTTTTTTTGTAGTAAGGGTTTTTTGTTCCAACAGGAGCTGATTTTGAGGTTAAACGTATAGTTGCCGAGAATGCTTTGGCTCTAACTGCAGGTGAGGGGTACTTACAACAGCTGCTGTTTCGGAAAAAATTCTGACTGGCAGTTATATCCAGCCTTCCTAAAGTCAGCCGACGATCATACGAGTATTCCTTGCTTTTTAGTCCCACTGGCAGCAACCAGCGATGGTGTTCTGCGTGAGAAGTAGCTGCATTTGATTATGTCTGCATATAAAGCAGCCTTGGATGTGATGCACTCAATACCGTCAATATGTTTTTAAAAATGAAAGAAAATGATCTCATATCTAGATTGGATTTGTAAGTACTGAGTGTAAAACTGGAATCATAAACTCAATAAGGAAAGATATTCCAAGGAAAATAAAGAGGTGCTTCCCTTTGTCTTGATCTTCCATGCAAAACTATACCCGAGGTGTCCCAGCCTTAAATTCCATTGTGCACCTTAGCAAAGAGAAAGACAAAAGCGGGACCAGGGAGCCAGCTGCAGTTCTGTGACCCCAACCAGTGCCAGCCTGGCCTCACATTGCTTAAGAGTTGTTCCATGTCTGTGTAGCCTAGTGGATCATAGCTTCAGTTTTCCTTTCCATTTCCTCTGGACACTGAAATAACTTGCTCTGGAAGTTTCTCGTAGACCCTGATGACATACTTCTGGCCTTTCTTCATCCAGCAGTTTTGTTTTCTTGTTACTCGGTCACTCACTGATGAGAACATGTATTTTTGTTGCTTTCATCCTTTTAAATCTGAGTGGCCTTCCAGAGTTTAGAATTGCTGTGCCTCACAGCTGGTTCATTGGCTCTTTGTCATACTATTTTTTGACTTAAATTCATTCTAAGTCAGGATTTTCTTGTCAGCTTGTCACAGTCAGGATGCTTTGAGGCATTGCCCTACATAACACTTTCATACTTTGATGCTTTGTTCTGACCTTTCTTCCTTTCGTGTCAGTATTTCACTCAGATATCTTGGCATGCTTTCCTGGTGTTTGGATGCGTTTTTCTGGACCATCTTCTCTACTTTGAGAACAGCTGCCTGTGTGTGCATGTGGCAGGGCAGCACGTATTTGTAGGACATAGCACGTGGCAGAACAATACAGGGGGGTCAGAGTGGTAAGGTATTTAAGGAAAAAAGGGGGTTATGACTGGGTCCCATTTCCCTCCCTTTAACTTTGCACTCTCCAGGCTTATGTGATGTGGTGGCAGCTTGTGCAGACCATCTTGCAGCTACGTCTGGGCTTGATCCCAGAGGCCATGCATATAAGTAATATTTTTGGAGTACTTACTGAAATTTGTGATTATTGCAGATACTTGCACTCGTATGCACAGTACGGATGCAGTGAAATACACATTAAGTGTGTTTTGTATTGGAAATTACAAGAAGAACATTGTAGCAATTTTAATTAATTGCTCATGGTTTGTGAACCACATTTAAGAATTTAAGAAGTTTCAGAGCATGAAAGTGCCAATAATATTAGCTAGACGTTGAGGACCACAAAACCAGAAGGTGTTCTGCATCTTGTAGTTTCCTGTGTAGCAGCCTGTGCTCTTGACTTTTCCCAGAGGAGTTTCTTTTTACTGATACCAAGGCATCTGTTCTGGGCTTGCTCCCTTTCTTTTATTGGAAATTGTATTTTTTTTTTTAAATTATAATAAAACAACATCTAGCTGACATGAGGATCCTGGTTTTACTTGGCTCTCTACATATGTGTGGTGAGAAAATTTCAGCATCACACAACAACCAACAGATGTGGTCAGGTGAACTACTGAAACTGCTTCTTACAAAAGGAAAATGTAGGATACAGGAATTAAATGATTTATGATGGGTTGCAGAGGAAACAATATGTGTTACATGTTCAAACTTAATGTCTCAGGTTGGAATTCACCACAAGATCATCTTTCCAGGTCCTGTTTTTCATACACATTCAAATATTCATTAAATTCAGAAATCTTTTTGGGTTTTAAGTGCTCACTGTATGGCTGAATGTTGAATGGATTCTAAGTAGGAAGCAATCTCAAAGTTAGTAATAGAGGGATGTGATCACTTCAGATTGAAACACAGTGAATTTCACTAAAGAGCATGTTCTAGTGTGCACATAAGAAAGGCTGTAGCTGGTAAGCGTGTATGAAGACACAAAATTTTTTAGCAGTGAAGAAAGTAATAAGAAAAATAAGTCTGCAATAACAAGAGCCAATTTTTCGATTCTGTCTTAAGAATTAGAAAAACTCGTTTCATAAAACATTTTTATAGACTACCAAGGCATTTGTAAATAAAATTTTTCAGTCTTTTTCTTAGGCAAATAAGAATTCACGTTTCAGTATGATAATAAATTACTAACCAGGTTCACTACATATGGCTTGTTAATGTTTTAAAAACAAGGCCAGCTGCATTTTCTGACATCTTTTTCTGAAGAGCATGTCCACTGGATTTTTGGTGTGAATTAATATCATTAAGTCACCCATATTACAGCAACTACATGGCATTCACAAAAGACACCCTTATGGAAATAACGACACCAGCATTTTGTGGCGTGTTGGCTTGACTGGGGTAAGATCCAGCTGTAAGTGGGCTCATAGCAGCATAGCAGATTCTGTGTGTTGAGAATATTAGACGAGAAACTTAAATGGAAAGCATTTCACATGTTAAGCATATTTTATTTATTTATTTTTATTATGGGCTAAGGCTTTGTAAAAGTTTAAAATATTAAACGCATGAGAATCTAGAAACACTCCACCAGAGGAGTAACTTTGCTTGCATAGCAGTTTTTACAGCTGCTTTGCAAGCAGTGGATTCTGTCAATGTATCCAACTGAAATGGCTGTTAAAAGCTATTCAGGAACAGTGGCAATAATCGCAAAGGCACAGACCAAAATTCTTCAGAGAAAGGTGCCAGCATTTTATTAATGTTTCTAAGACAGTAAAAGGCATATTTCAAAAAATATTAAATGTGCTTTTTCGAATAATATGAGATTCTTCAAAGTATAAAAGCAGTTTGACAACTTACAGAGAAAGAGTATATAATAGTTGGTTTTCTGCAAAGGATTATTGCCTTCCTGCATTTCCTAGTTTATTGCCATTTTAGTCTATCTTTGCCCTCCTTTCCATACTACCTTGTAAATACACAATACAGCATGGGCGGACGCAAAAGTGCTGGTCTCCCATTCCAAATACCATTTGCTCATATTCAAAGCAGACTCAGGCTTGTTTTGCTCTGAGCTGTCCAGAAGCCATGTGAAGATGACCTTTATGGCACTGTTTCTCGTGCTCATGAGCAGCCCTGAGAGGCAGAGCTCAGGTTTGACGCCGCTTGCTCCCTCACCTCACCATGATAAATGTACACAGTTCTTTGTTGGCTCCAGTAGTGTCTGGGAGAGAATATTAAGATCTTGAAAGTGAAGATAAGAAGCTTGTATTTAATGCATAAGGAAGGCTGCAAGGAGAAGGGTGGTAAGGTGAAGGGAGATCATCTATGCATACAGTGCAAAGGCACAGAACTTAGTCAAGGCCATGGACTACGATGTGGCAATAATTGTAACACAAAAAGTGGTAACAGAAATGCGGATGAGTGTACTGGCTCCACTAGTGGATAGGAAAGACTCTATACTGGAGGCAAAGTCATTATGCCTTAGACAACAAACAGCCCTGAATATTCAAGGCCCGGTATATGGGCTCTGATGCCCAGTATACATCTATTGAAAGGATGGCGCGGCTGTCATTGTTGGTTCAGGAAGGACGCGGGAGAAATGGCTGGAGGGTAAAATTAGGGTAGTAGCCTAGTTGATGATTAGACCTGACAAGATAGCAGGAAGACAGGCTGAAACATGAGTTTGACTGAGGGGCAGGTTTGAAGTAGAAAGCTACATCTGTATGTTTCTGTCCAGAGATGACTGCTGAATTTGTGATAGCCGAAAAATTACTCAAAGGGAAGATTCAGGGGGAGAAAAGGACAAAAGACTGAGATCTCTCCATTCCCTGGCAGGAGAATAACTTGAAAATTAAGCTGCAAAAGCACTCTAAAGAGCAGAAGTTGCCTGAGCATACATTATCGAGATTAGCAGTGGGTCTTTTGTCACAGTGCACAAACAACTGACATGCTGGGGGAGATGAGGGTGGAGAAACGGGCCTGAGGTGCTCAGAGGGAGATTGTTCTGAATTCATAGTAAAAGATTGACTAGAGTGTATATGGTGTCTAGGGTGAAAGCTATATAGCATGAGTTCTTGTACCAAGTCCCTGGAATGGAATTTGGAATTGGGCGATGGAGCTTGGAGATGGACGGGGAAGGGGTGTATGGGATAGTAGCTGGGATGACTGATGGGATTAATGTGGCTGTCTGCTGACTATTGTAAAGAAAAAGCTGCAGAGAATGAGTGGGCGAGGAAAGGATAAATTATAGTATGAAATTGAAAGCAAGTGGGATCAGGATTAGCATGAGGTCACTAGTGCAAATGTAGAGGTGTGAATAAGCAAGTAGATAAGAGACTTCTTGGCTAAAATGGAAGATAATTTAGCATCCACAGAATAATGTTGGTTACTTATGTGAAAATATAAAGCCAAGCATCATGGTTTAATTGTACTCTGACAATTCAGAAATTATTTTACTCCCAAATTTAAATTTTCTAAGCATAAATTTTCTGTATAGAAAAGTCTGAAGGACAAAGTTCATCATGCCCAACAGGCTTATAATAGGATGTTTAATCAGGAGTCAAATCAACATTAATTGTTCCTTCTATTCCCTTCAGCTTATCTAAGATCGTGCTGCTGAGGATAATAGAAGTCTAGGGTGATTAGATTCTTAACTTAAATGCCTCTATTAAAGATTAGTTAAGTAGGATGAATCTTGGCATGGATATCATTGTAGTTGTGAAGAGAAGCTCAAAAATGTGAAAAGTGTAGTTGATATTTATTGTCTACCTAAGTCTGAAATCAAAACCAGATGTGATTTACTCCAGATATTTCTTGAGTACTCCTCATGGTAATTAAAAGTCAGTGTCATCTTTCATCAGGTTTCATGTAAAAAAGCAGTTGGAGGACGAGGGCTCAATAGTGTATTACAAGGGGCATCTGCCTATTTATTAGCTTGCTCTCTCTTTTCTTTCCCCTTTAAAACTACTAGGAGAGAAGTCTGTGGAGCTGAGCAGAATTCAGCCAGGATTCCTCCCTCAGATGAGTGGAGTCAAAGGAACTCATCAAGCTCCACAGACCAGCTCTCTGGTGGAGCCTGCTTGCTTTTCAAGTGAAGCCTTCATTTGGTAACTCAAATTATTAGTTTTTCATCATCAGACTTTGGAAGAGTACTTATTTGGAATTACGTATTTGCACAATAGGTGCTAGGTGGTGATTAATGAGAAACCTGTTTCAGTGTTGATACTAATGATAATTTTGATATTTCGAGAAAGATAAAAGATATACAAGAACAAATTTGTAACAGTGTAAGTTCTCTGAATTTCTTTCAGTCTACTAATTAGCAGTTGTTTTTGCCAGAATGTACAAAGGATTGTTGTGTTTTAACCTAAGCTGCTTA